AACAGTAACAATAAAAACAATAATAGTGTCGAACAGTAACAATAAAAAACAACAACAGTGTCGAACAGTAACAATAAAAACAATAATAGTGTCGAACAGTAACAATAAAAAACAACAACAGTGTCGAACAATAACAATAACAAACAATAATAGTGTCGAACAGTAACAATAAATACAGTAACAGTGTCGAACATTAACAATAACAAACAATAACAGTGTCGAACAGTAACAATAAAAAACAATAATAGTGTCGAAAAGTAACAATAAAAAACAATAATTGTGTCGAACAGTAACAATAAAAACAATAATAGTGTCGAACAGTAACAATAAAAACAACAACAGTGTCGAACAGTAACAATAACAAACAATAAAAGTGTCGAACAGTAACAATAAAAAACAATAATAGTGTCAAACAGTAAGAATAGAAAATAATAATAGTGTCAAACAGTAACAATAACAAACAATAATAGTGTCGAGCAGTAACAAAGAGTAACGGTGTCGAACAGTAACAATAAAAACAATCACAGTGTCAAACAGTAACAATGAAAAACAATAATAGTGTCGAACAGTAACAATAACAGTGTCAAATAGTAACAATAAAAAACAATAATAGTGTCGAACAGTAACAATAACAATCAATAATAGTTTCTAACAGTAACAAAGAGTAACGGTGTCGAACAGTAACAATAGAAAAACAATAATAGTGTCGAACAGTAACAATAACAAACAATAACGGTGTCGAACAGTAACAATAAAAAACAATAATGGTGTCGAACAGTAACAATAAAAACAATAATAGTGTCGAACAGTAACAATAACAAACAATAACAGTGTCGAACAATAACAGACAATAAAGTAATAAAGAGTAACAGTGTCGAACAATAACAGACAATAAGAGTAACAAAGAGTAACGGTGTCGAACAGTAACAGTAACAGTGTTTGAACACTAACGAACAGTATCAGTAACAAACATCAACATATATCTCCCTATGAATTGATGGGATTTTTTTTATCCGTACATCTACATATGCGTTATGTTGCGGATGATTTTCTTTTCGTGTATTTGAACAAGTATTCTTTTGAATGGATCGGTAAAATCCAACAACAATTATTACTTTATTATCGGTTTCCTTAATACTAAATAAACAAGGGAGAAATAAACTCCAGAAGTTCGAGCCGAATTCTGCAGATATGTGTCAAGAACACAAACAGCATAATACTAGAAAAAATATTTTATTGATTGAAATAACTAACCACTGTGTTAAGCAGGCAGCGACTAATTTTTGTGAAATTTTAATTAATGCCGTTTTTTATTTTAAAATTCAGAGCAAGTAATTTTACGAGGAGTAAAAGAACTAAAGTAATTATCGATGGTCGTAAAATTATTTTTGTGCACTAGTTTTTACACACAATTTATTTAACTTAACATCGTTAATTGCAAAAAAAAAAAGTCAATAGAGGTAGATGGATACACCGCTGTTTACAATTTCTTATGGTATTTGATAAAATACGATCTCAAAATATTTATGTCGCTCCTAGCTATCGGTTATACTACCCAGGCAAAGAGTTTAATTATGTATAAGTCAGAAGTTTTACTAAAGCGAATTATGAGGTTATTTTTATTATTATTTTTTAGGGACAAGTGTATCCAGCAAAGGAATATAGAAGATACACTCCGGTTTAAAAAAGTTATGGAATTTTCTTATAATTATTCTTAATACAACAAGAATTAAATCATCTTACCGTAAGACAAGGTCCAGGCCATCCTAATGAACACTAAGACAATTCCATTTATGATATAAAATTATCATCATAATGGAGAAATCTTCAAGTCATTTTCTCTGACACGTTCATTCACATCGTACCTTCAGATTTAGCTCAACTCATCTTACTCTGAGATGAAGAAACTTGTGTCATCGTGTTGTAATACAAGCATATTCTGTGTTATTGTGTTACAAACTACGCACCATTTTACAGCACAATATGCTTCGGGTCATGGTACACTAAGGTGATGTGGAAATCCCATTTTCGGGTCTTCTTATCGTGCCATAAATTTCGGTAATTTTTATGTAACATAAATTGACGTGGTTGTGGTTCAAAATGTGAGTCATATGATAGATAATTTTTTGTCATTTTAATGTAATATAAGTCTTGTTCCATCTTTCTGCAAACCCATTCTAAAGCCATGTAAACGTGAAGCAAACTTCCTACACTTTGTGACATAAGATCCAGTTTACATTGTTGAGAAACAACATTGGAATCGTCTCACAGTAGAATAGAACCTGAGTCATCTGACCCTAAACAAAACTCTGACTGTTCATCATGTATTCAAAACATACCTCATCTAACCTGGACGAAGTCTCAGACAATTTATTTTATGTTGGTGTAAGGAAAAAAAAAGAAAAAAAAGTCATTTAACCTGGAACAGAACAAAGTCAATTAATCCTGTTTTGGTGTGGAACAAAATATGGGCCGTCTAATAGTTGGATCTAACATTAGACAATTTACCATACACCACTGTGGAACAAAACTTAGGTCATCTAGCCTTGCACCTAACCTTTGGCAGTTTACCATATATTACTGTAGAACAGTACTTGGGTCACCTAGCC